TGATTGGAACGACGACCACCACGACGAGTTGGTTTTGGTGTGGAGGCCAAGGGGGAACAAACTGATTTCCTGATTTCCTGATTTCTAGTGATTTCCTTGATTTCTAGTGATTTCTAGTGATTTCCTTGATTTCTAGTGATTTCCAATGATTTCCTTGATTTCTAGTGATTTCCAATGATTTCCTTGATTTCTAGTGATTTCCAATGATTTTAAATGAATTTCTAGCATCCATCAAATTGTTAGATTTTTTTAATATCATTTGACAAACGTCTTTCATATCTGTTGATATTGTCATAATTAGACATATATAATAAATAGGCTAATTTTGCTGAAAAAACAATGATTCAAGAGAGAAAAACTACAATTTGACCAACGGCATATTTAAACAATTCAACAAAGAAAAACTATAATTTGACATATAGCAACGACATATTTAAACAATAACAGTTGAAAATACAACTGTTATTTACCTTGGACCCGTGATAATCGATCAGAAGATAATGTACCTCTATCTTTTTGTAAAAGCCAACAAGCAGCTTGTTTATGAAGATATTTTTTATCACCATTAAGGATAACTTGAAAGTAATTGTGAGCAAATTCTTCTTTAACATTATCGACCAATCTTATTCCACGATTGGTAGATACGTTAACATTATGGATAGTATCATAATTATCATCTAAAGTTATTTCTTCGTCACTCTCATAATCATATGTAAGATCATTATCAATATCATTGCCTGTTTCATCATCTGACTCAGTATCTAAATCTTCATTTTTGCTGCTACGATCATCATTTTCTGTTGTCCAAAAATCCTCTAATCGACGTGAAATGGTATTACTAAGTTCTTGAACTGATATTGTTTTTCCATTTCGTAAAAACTGTTTGATTTTAAGTGGTTTGAAAAGATTAATTACGTAACTATATGCCCTATGAACAGTATTTTCAATATCAGTCTTCGAAATAATAGTTATATTTGATGAGGTTGAGGTATTACGTAGTGTTGATGATACTTTATGGTGTTGAGGAAAACGTAATTTATTTTCACTTGCATTATTTTTGATATTTTGTAATGTAATTAATTTATTTATTCTACTAAGGAACTGTGCAACTGTAAAGTTCACACCAGCTGAATTAATACTAGATATTGATCGGGCAGATCTAAACGTGCTTTCGCAAGTTTGCGAATTTTGTAACCATGTGTGGAGAGCTTCGAAAGGAAGCTTTCCTTCTGAGACAAGTACAGCAAGATATGTTAGACTGTGTGCATTGATCTCAATTGAGAAATACGATTGGTACGTAATAAAATATTTACGTTTTATGTTACATTTCTTTTCATCAGATATAGATAAACCAGATGATTGTGTGAAAATTAAATCAAGATCACGTTTTTCTGTGGAATTAATCCACATGAACCAGAATCGGAAAATGAACACCACGATCCATGCATGAAATATCCGGTCCATGATATCTGTTGCGTGTTCAATATAGGCAATTCGAATACTTTTCATAGCCTATAACAAAAAATCGTCATTAATAATTATTATAATAAAACTTTAAAATGATAATCTATGACTTTACTCATATCTTTTTGTCCAGTAATTAAAAACTCGAGTTTTTGAAAAACAATTAAAACCTTTCCAATAGCTTGATAAAGGTGCTCAGACTATGTTAGATTCTGATGTGTCTACTCCTTCAGTTTTTGGTCCATTTATTTTATTATGCGTAGACCTGTCATAGCCAACCCTGAAATCCCTTCTTTTAGCCTACTTTTACTCCTTTTTATCAACTGACTAAAAATGACCGGACCCGAACCCACACTGACACAGAACTCGAACGTTTGGGTTTGGTGCATGCCTAGATGAAATAGAAAATCATTGTTGTTGTTAAAAAATTTCGATCAATATCAATCAATTGATTTGAGTATATCTAAACAACTTTTTTTGAATTCATTTCAATTGAATTATCTATTTTCACATTGAATAGGATCCGAAACTGTTTCATCTACTTTAAAACTTCTTTTTATCTACCTTTAAATAAATAATAATACCAATAGAGTTTGGAACTTGTTCAAGTAAGTTTAAAACATTGTCACTTGAAATCTTGGTGCAGGATTTAAAATTCTGTCGATCTTTCGGATCTATATCAGATCGAACAAGTGCATGATCAAGTTTAGAAAATTGTTGAATTATATAAAAAAGTGGTTCAATATTGACTAATTGATTGCCTAAAAGAAGTGTTGCTGTTTTTGAAAGAAGTCTGTTTCGTAATTTTGTACATATGTGGATTGGGTCTTGTAAACATAGATACAACTGCTCGGGTTGCATAAAAAACCAAGACCAGTTAGTTGGAAGATCAATTGAAAGAATATCTGGATGATCATCATAAGCGAAACTTGCAAAAAAACCAAGAGATATTCTCATGGCATGCAAATAACGACTGTCACAATCGGTTGCATAGCCGATAACACGTATACCTTTGGCTTTGCATTGTTGATAAATATGACCCCAACGTAAAACAACATCAGATGATTTGAATTTATTATCTGTTCCATAAGCAGCAATAAGATACGGAGAAATGTTTTCAATTGAGGTAGAAAGTGGTTGAATAAGACAAGCGTTGAGTGATGTTGCCTGTGATAAATCCGAGTACCACTGTTCAAGACGAGTAAATGAGTTTGTCGAATATGAGTTGATGATGGGCACACCATTGTCGTCGAGAGGAAGCGAGAATCCGATAAATGTATCTGATGTAGTGTCATATGTAATTTTCGGAACAATTGCGGTAGAATCTTCCGCACAAAAACCTAATATCGATTGGTTGAGATTAAAATAATCACGCGCATCATCATAATTGAACAATCCTTCAGTTAGATGATTTTCTGATGCACCAATATAAGATTGGATAGTTTGTACACTTGGGAGAAGTGCAGGGATGTTTAAACGAACAAACTCATAAGCAGTGCGACCACCAAGAATATATAAACTGCACGCAAATTGTCGAATAATAGTATCATAACGATATCCTCGCTCTTCTGTAATAAAGTTTTGAATCATATTATTTAAAATAATATTTAAAAACGTAAAATCAACTTTGCTCATTGCTAAAAGATTTGAATACGCAACGAGCGTTCGAATAAATGGAAATTTTTGTAATAATTGTTCAGGAATAATCAAATCAGGATTGTTGTCTGAGTTGTGGTAAGAAGAAGTCGAATGTTGACGATTAAGATGATGAAGAGTAGAAAGAAAAGATTCAACCTTGTGTATAATACCTTTTTTTACGACAAAACGACCATCATTGAGTAAGATTCCAGCTTTTTTTTTTAATGGGATTAATTCATCTGAATCGAGTTCCAGAAAAGTAAATATGTTATTAATATCAAGAAGACAATCTACTGATGAAATATCTTGTGCTTGCATAATTTCAACAACGACAGTACCACATTGCTCTTCGACTAAGTTGTAAAATGTATCATTACGAAACGATAGAACTTCTTTCATTAAACTATTAGTGGATGGAAAACTTGCCATTTAATAGAGGTTCTAAAAAAATATTGTAATCATCATCATATTGTAAGAGTTTAAGTATAAATATTACAATAAGAAAAAGAAACATGTTTAGATACAAAGTATGTTTTAGGCTATCTTCAGTGAAGCGAGATACTGTGTTAAGTATTTATTGTTTCATCTGAAAGATTGTTTCAAATCATTTTAGCTGTCTGTTCAATGTTAGAACTATTTCTCATGATTGTTGAACAATTCGATTACATATATTTTCGCAATTCTTTCAAATTAAACAAATTACAATCAGAATTTTAAGCTAAATTTATTTCACAAAAGTACATGTAAATAATTTGTGTCACAAAATAACGATATAGAATAGATCACATTCAGGAATAAATAAAGAAATATTATAAGTACGATAAAAACCTAACTATAAAGTATATATTCAAATACTCTTCTTTTTCTTTAACAAAGATGAAGAGGATGTTTGATTTCTTTTTCTCTTTTCTAGTGATGTCTGAATAGGTGAAATTGAATTGGGTACATTATTCAATGTTGGATCGACAGATGTATTTGAATTATCAAGAGTAGAAACAACACTGGAAGTCATATTTTGACGAGTATTTTCCAATTTTTCTTGAACCATAGCACATGGATTTTTATTTGTTAAATGACGAATATAATTTGATAACTAAAAAAACAAGAAAAGTTGTTATATATTAATGCATAGATTTGATTAAGTAAATGAGAAATATGATAAAATCAATGGAAATATCATGGTATTCTACGCACTATGGAGTCCAAAATACCTAATGAGATCAAAACGCGATGTTTAAATATTTCGGACGATCAGTTTTGTTAATATACATTTCAATCAAAATAAGCTATGTCTTAACGGTTTGCAGTCATATCCGTAGCATAATAGAATTGTTCTCATCAGATTGCACGCTGTAAGTAATCAATAACAAATATTTTTCTATATTGATTTACACTGATGTAACTTCATATTCAATATTCACTAGAAAGAGTACAAGTTATGAAGTGTTGATATCCGTTGGGATTGAGTTTTAGATATTTAAATTGATTAGCAAAAAACTATGTCCATTGTCAAGTTTAACGGGGAAAATGTAATCTTTACCGATAATATTCTTATTCGTAGTCTGTTCTACCTTCCACACATGATCTTCTCACAGACTATCAAACATCTATTAATGATATCGTCATTAGATGTTTGAAAAAAAAATATGAAAAAGACTAATTTCTTTTTCATACGGTGCATTGCATTACTTGCACCTTTACGTGGGTCTTTAAGCAATGATAACTGGTAAAGATTAATTAGAAGACAATATGAAGTCAATATCATTTTAAGTAACGATAATAATAATGCTTTTCAGACAGATGCGAACCATTATTGTATTTCATCGAAATAACAGCATAGTGAAGTATGTCAAAAGTAATGTCATCTAGACTCTACAGTACTTAATACATCATTATCTGTCTAAAATAATTGTTTTTCTGTGGAAAATGTATTACAAAAGTCAACAAGATGAAAAGACGACAATCTATATAATCCTTCTCAATAACCCGCACTGAACATTTCCTATCGAATTCATTTACAAATGAGCGGCATGTATTAACTGACATTCTTTTTTATGCTCAATATCTAAGACTTAAAAATCTATGTTCGTGCATCTTTCTCGAAAAGTAATATCTACAGTGAAAATAATGACTTACAACATAGCTGTTATTCTTTTGACCTAATGTTGAAATAATACCGCATTGACATTTTATCAACACTTTGTTGACAATAGAATTCACGATAATTTCATAATCAATTCCTTCTGTAATTTGAAAATTTTTCTGATTTTTATTTTGCTCCATTTTATCGACCCAATCATTCAATAAATTAATTAAATGGATTTTAAGATTTTCTTTAAAATTTGAACTGGTGGCAGATGATGAAGAATTCTTTACCAATTGTTGTGCAGATGAATATGTAGAATTACTAGAATAATCAGTTGCTGAACTATTGGAGGTTACATTATTTGCCATAATATTCGAATATATTTTTGGTGTTTCTTTTTTTAACTCATTACTTTTTTTTGTTAAAGCATTTTTTAATAACATCATCTTACTCTTGATTCCTGGTAAAACAACAAATAAATTAGTATTTAATTTTAAACACATTTGCTTCTTTAATTCAAGTAAATCATTTGAATCATATGATAAAAGTTCAAAAGGATCATCGCACGCTAGAAGACAATTCACATTATTAATATCTTGAAATTCGAGAAGAGTAGCTAGCTTCTGGCCTGCAAAACTTTTCACAAATTCGAAAAAACGTTCATCTTCAAATTCCATCACATCGTGTGGTAAAGCATTGCTTTTGTTGTACATATTTGAAATAGTTCAATGGAAAGTAAGAATGTGAACCGAATCAAATAACAAAAAAATAATGTTCGTTAACGAAGACGAAGATAGAAATGAACAGAAAAAAATGTCTGTTCTTTGATTAATTATATGAAGAAAAGATCGTATACGAAAAGAAACAGAATATAAAAACACGTAGATATCGAAGTTGAACAGTAATTAGATGCATTTCGGTCACGTGTCATTTATATATATATATGTATATGTATGTATATCAACTACTTGCATTGATTATTTCTCGAATTGTTTGACAAAACGATGTACATGAATAGAAAAAAAATGTGCAGTTTACTCGAGAAGAACACAATTCTCTAAATCTATCTTTCGTGCATCATTCTTCTTGTCATTAAGTCAACAAAAAACAAGTAAAACTGCAACATTTTCGCTATTTTCGATACGACATCAAATAATTCTCAGAAAATTGATATATATATTATACTAATGATTTTTGTTGATTTCCATGATTTCTGATGATTTCTGTTGATTTCCATGATTTCTGTTGATTTCCATGATTTCTGTTGATTTCCTTGATTTCTCGTGATTTCCTTGATTTCGAGTACTGGAAATCAGTTTGTTCCCCCTTGGAAAATATTCATCAGATAAATAATATGTATTTGTCTAATTATTCTAATGATCATAATAAACTAGAAATATATATAAATCAAGATATTTATTCGTAGTTTAATTGAACTCATTAATTATTTGAATTTGTTTTAAACGAAAAAACTTCAAGTTTAATTAGAATTTGTAATGATGATATTAAATAAAGATCATGACGAGAAAATAAAACGATCGAATAAAATCAAAATTAAACAATTCTTTTCAAGTAAGCAAAGGTGACAGATAGCGAAGAAAATGTGCATACTTTACTATTCTGATTGAGAGAAAATATTTCTCATAGGTAAGACTTGGTCAAAATCAATTGTGCTAAATATTCAATATTAATAGGAAGATAAGTTCTAGTAGTCAATTATTAAAACATATATGAAAGAAGATTAACTGATAATAGTAATCAATAATTATTTTAAATTTATGTTAATATAGAATCATATAAAATTTTTCAACTGAATAATAAATCACGTATACTCAATTTTCAATATATTTAATTAAATAGATTATTTGAACTTGTTTCTAATTCGAGATGCCGAATCTAGCCGCGTGCGCGAACGAACTTTTAGAATAATTATTGAAAATATATTAGCATTCGAAAAAATTTCTTGAAAAATAATCGGTGTTCCATAATCTATGTTCCACTTCTATTTTCTGTCTTTGAAACATTAAATAGTTGTTCAAACTTTAGTTCTAATCTCGTTGGATAGAAAATTTAATTCTCTACAAATCTACCGACTGTTTTTTCAAAGAAAGTATTCATACAAGTGTCAACTTCATAAGATTAAAGTCTATTCAATTGTCAAACTATGAATTTCTATTTAACTACAGATAAAAATCAATGTGTCACAGCGTGTGCTCATTAAAACAAATAGTAAAAGTTGAAGAATTATTTGTTGTATGTGGTAGTCTTAAGTTTATCATCTTTCTAAGTGTTTAGTTTGAGAAGAATAAAGTTGAAAAGTAACATCTAAGAATATTGATGAATGCATTATGAAAAATTCTCTTATCAAAAGTCCGACTCGTCGTATACACAGTTGATTGTCGTATCATCGAATGCTCAATTAAATTCTGAATAAAAAGGTACAACTATTCACTTGAACAGTTGAATCTTTTAGACTATTTTAAATAAGGAAAAAACAACAACTCAGATTTGTTAATAGGCAACTTTATCTTTCGGTGCTCCAGCATTTTCTATTTCGGAATTTTTCCTCTCAATTATTCTTTTGTAGAAGTTTCAAAGTCATAGCGAAAGATGCAAAACTTTGTGTTAAATATTGTAACCTTTTTTTTAGAATTCAATAGATTAGTTCCTAAAAGTTTTCTGTAAGTTTTTTTGTGCTTTTTTGATACTTCGCATTGATAAGCTTGAATAGATGTTCATGTTGCTGACTTTGCTGCAATATGAAAAACTTATTTAAAATAGAAATGTCGAAATTTGCATAGAAAATAAAATTCCCTATTTCGAGTGTGGATGCTCCTTACTTTCTCTTTTCAAAGAAAAATCTTAGAATTTTCAAAAAAGATCTTTAATTGAGTTTTATAGTCGAGAAAATTTTTCGTTGTACTGGAAGATTCTGCATCTATGTTTTTAATATTGAACATGTTTGTATATATTAATCAGTAATATATTTTAATAAAAATTGAATAGATTTATTTGAAAATCGATAGTCAAAAAACAATCGAACAATATTTAATATAAATATTGTTATACGACGAATCCATAGTCTATTTTCAGAAGAAAACACAAGATAAAATTTAATTTATTTTTTCATTTTGTTTCTACTATTGTTTTTCAATTGTTTTGTTAAATTATTTATTGTTTATTCATTTTCAAGATGAAATTGATTTAATGGATTAATTGAAACTGAATAAATGAAATCTATATTTTTTTAAATTGTCTTCTTAATTAATCATCAA